GCACCAGCGGGCGGCCTCCGCCAGGCAGCACAGGTAACAACACAGACTCAGTGGCACAATGTGTGGCCGTACTCACCACTAAGGGGAGTTCCACTATGTCCACACAGGAGCAGGCCACCAAAGCCCTATCCCCACTCTCCCAGCCACCAACCCTACTCTCCCTTCTCCTTCATTTTAGGAACAAGAATTCACCAACAGCTTATTAGCTTGCAAAGTAATGAGGGGACGGCAATGAGGAGAAAGGCCTCTCCCTTAAAGAGCCTGCACCAGGCTGATGAAGAGGCCAGGAGGCCGGGTGGGGTGGGGGATGGTGGTGGTGCTGTTCTCAAGGCACTGGGTGGCCCCACACCCGCCTGAGAACCCACCCACCCAGAGTTGCTGCAGGCAGAGCAGCCTGAGGCCTTGGGAGCCGCCTTGAAGACAAGGGAGGAGCCTGCATAGCAGCCACGCCTATGCCACAGCCCGCAGTCCTGCCATCTCAACAGGCCAACTCCCCATTCTAGAAGCTTCCCCTAAGCCAAGCCCAAGCCCTTCCTTTCCTTAGTTGTCCTTGGAATTGCCACGTGATGGATGCAGACTAGGGCACTAGCCTTTCCACTCTCCCTCCTCACCCGCACTCGGCGTGCTCCTGTAAGTGGATTACCTTCAAACAGGTACAATCTCAAAAGCAGAAGCAAGGCCCTTCGGCCAAGAGGCAGCTGGCTGTCCCTTCTAGCAAGACCTGCTTTAACCCTAAAGCGACCCTCCCCTCCTCCCCTCCACCCACAGGAACATTACCACGAAAAACCTGAAAACTGAAGTCAGGAGGCTCTGAACTCCTTCCAGACTGTCCCCCGCAGTTCCTGAGGGTCACTCTCACCGTTCAGCCGAGGTGCCCATGCCCTGGCCCTTTCCTCCTGGACTGTGGTGAGGCCTGGAGTCAGCTCCTGGCTTTCCCTCCCTTATCAACCCTACTGCGCCAGCGCCCCCCCCCCCCGACCCCGCCTGCACCCCTTCCCCCCCACACACACACACACACAACTCCCATCCCCACCCGCTTTCCTTGCTCGGCCATTCCTGGCTCAGCCTGCGGTCCCTCTCAGCGCCCTCCCCCAGCACAGGTCCCTAACGTGTAGGGCAAGGCCCCTCCCAGGAGGAAGCACAGCGTGGTGGTGCCAGGCAGAGTCAAACTGGCCGGGCTTGTTTACAAGTCCCTAACCAGCCCCTAACCTGGAGTCAGCATCGCCTCTTGGGGAAGGGGCTCTCTGTCCTGCACTCCCTGCTGGGACCTCCGACCAACCGACCAACGGACCAACCGCTCCAGATTCCACACGACAGGGGCCCTCACAGGCATCTACCCTCCAGCCTGGCCTGACCAGTTGCTTACTTACGACCTCAGCAAGTTATTTAACCTCACTGTTCCCTTTGTCGGAGGGTATGATGGGTGATTCAGGGGGGAGACAACTTGTAGGCAGATCTGTGAGCACCAGAGAGCAGAGACCAAGCTGGTAAGTCAGGCCACTGGGGTGGGCACTGCATCTGTTGTGGAATGAATAAAAAGCTCACGAAAAGCCTCAGGTGCTGGCACACAGTGGGTGTTCCTGTGCTAACTTCTCTTAAAAGCATCTGCTTGTCGTTCTTTTGTCAATGCTCTCCTGTCTCCCAGCCACACTCCACACTGCACTGCTTTACTGCCACTGAATACACTCCCCGTTCAAATCCCTCTCTGCCCTCGCTGGTGCTCAGTGGTCAGCGCATTGACCTGCAGGCTGAAGGGTCACAGGTTCTATTCTGGTCAAGGGCATGCAACTAGGATTCAGGCTCTAGATCCCTGGCCCCATCAATGTTTCTCCCTCTCCCTCGCCCCTTCCTTTCACACTCTCTTAAAAAAAAAAAAATCAATGGAAAAATATCATCTGTTGAGGATTAACAAAAACACCTCTCCTCTGGCCAGCCTGAGCGCAGCATGGCATCAAGGCGCTCCTCCAGCCCAGCGCCGGCCCCTCCCTCCGTGCCTCACAGCCACTGCCCCGTGGTGCCCGGTGAGCTCCGTTTGTCACGGTGCCAGTCCTTATCGCCCCATCTTACAAGTCATTCACTTGTCTGTCTGTCTTCCCCGCACTGAGCTCTGGAGGTCAGCGATACGTGAGAGTAAACTCAAGTTCTGTTTCCATTTTAGAAACAGGGACACTAAGGCTCAGAGTTAATCACTGTCCAAGGTCACAGGGAGAATAAACGGCTAAGCCCGTGTCACGCTTCAGACTCTCTAAGCCCGGTTCCCTCCTCACTCGGGCTCCCGGAGCCAGGATGGCAGGAACCGGGGGCAGTGGCCCTCAGACCCAGGGGGCCAGGCGAGCAGGCTACAGGGTGGGGCTGACTGCTCCAGGCCAACAGGCCAAGCAAAAGGGCAGAGCCAGCGGTCCCCTGGGTAAACTGAACTTTATTCCTTCCTCACTCCTCTGACTCTCCAGAACGGCCCCTCCGGGCCTTCTGCAGAGTTGGCTGCTGATTAAAAGGCGCTGAGCCCACCCCCGGACCTGGGCCTGGCAGACAATAAGGGCTCCGGAGAGGCAGCAGGCCTGTCAGCTCAATAATGCAAAACCCTGTGGCTCTGAGTCCACGACAGCTGACTTCAAGTGGATCGGCTGCGTGCTTATTAACAAAATGGGAAATCTGATCTATGGAAAGAAAACACTGCATGAGGATTAATCCGGGGCTGCGGCGTGTGGGGAAGGCTGGGCCGCCAGCCAAGGCCAGGGAGCAGGAACAGGATCGTGCCTACCTGTCCCCAGAGCAGGTACCAGGCGGCAGGAGCCGGGCATCACCGCTGCCCCACCTCCGGCGGCAGCAGCAATCATTTCGGTTTTATTTAATTAAAGGCCTTGCTCCCTCAGGCTGCTTCTTCCTCCGCACAGAGCCAGCGACCGGAGGGAGACTTCTTTTCAGGAATCGCTTGTAAAAGCTGAGTGACTAATCTACAAGTCCTAACACTGGCAGGGAAACACTGCAGGGAGGGACTCTGGGCACACACCAGCTCTCCACGAGTCAAACAGCCGGAGGAGCTGGCCCACAGGCTCTCGGTGACCCCCCAAAACGGACTTGCAGGAAGCCAGGAGCCAGAGGAAAGAAGGCAGACCCACGTGGGAGCTCTGGGTCCCAAGGCAGGCCCGTGGGGAGCCTCCTCTGAGCCTCTGAGCCTTCGTCCTGCCCATGGCGCACAGACATTTCCCTAACATGCCCAACTGCGCAGGAGGGAGGGAGGGTTCACTCAAAGGCACCGAGATCGATGCCGGAACCGAAGGAACTCAGTTCAACCCTCAAGTACCAACCTCTCACCCACCCTCCCACTCCCACCCATGAGCTCAGAGCCCTCTGCACCAGCAATCTCACCACACAGCTTTGTCTCTGGAGACCACCCTGAGGCCGCCCATCTGCTTTTCTCCAGACCCTTCCAACAACCCCGCTCTGCCCAGGCCTCTCCCCTGAGCCGGGGCTTCAGACCGGCGGCCGCATGGCCCGTGCCCTGAACGTGTCTGCCGAAAGGCCCGGGGAGTCCGGGCGCTGGCACATGGCAATGGAGAGGAAGAGGAGGGAAAGCCAGAAGCCAGGAAGTAATAAATGCTAGCTCCAGAAAGGTTCTGGGTTTTGGGTGACCATCCCTCCACCCAGGGGCCCCCAGGAATTCTCCCCCCTGCAAGATCAGCCCCCCAGCTCTGGAGGCCCCTCCATTACCTGCCAGCTCCTCCTCCCTCGGTTGGTTCGAGAGGCACTGCAATCCCCACATCAGTCAACAAGCCCCTGCCCAGGATTCCTATGGGCAAGGCGCTGCCCCTCCCCCCGCCACATGTCAGGGGGGTGGCCTCCCTGGGTTACACCCCTCCTGCTATTGGGGGTGGGGAGGGGTGGGGGGGTTGGGCCAGGAACCTAGCTTTCCAGATGTGCTTTGGCAACTCCTTACTTAGCAAAGACGCTGGAGCGGGGAGGGGAAAGGAGAAGGCGCAAGATAAATAACTTCAAAACTGCTCCAACCCACCCGAATCGGCACCGGGTCCCCCTTCCCCAGGCAGTCCCACGCTGCTCTGGGTGGGGCCCGCTGGTGAGCATTATCAGGCCCGGTTCCCTCCTCTCCGAGTAAGTCATTGCCCAACCTCCCTCCCTCCCACCACCACCACCACCACCACCACCACCACCAGGGAGAAGCATCCCCCACCCCACCCCCGCCACCACCCCCCACCAAGCTAGGCCTGTGTGAATATGAACCATCTCGGCAGATAAACAGAGAGTGACAAGCTGGGGCCCTGGAGTCCCCTCCCTCTGCCAGCCGACCCCCTCCCCCAAGCCCATCTCTCTTCCTGCCAAGCGGCTGCCTCCAGATCTGAGATCGGGGGGCAGGGCAGCGAGCCTACAGGCAGCGGGCAGGACCTGGCGTTCTGGGGAGCGCCCACTGCCCCCCCCAACCCCCCGCTTGCCCCCCTGCCCTTGCCAGTCTCCCTATGGGAGGGGGCAAAAGAGGATCCCAGAACGGCAGGCAAAGGCCGCAGTTCTAGAAATAGCAAAAGCCCCGGTGAGGGGCGGCCGCGGGCGCAGGGCCCTTTGCATAATGGGAGCCCGCCCGCCTGTCAGGCAGCGCAGCTCGCCCGACGCCGCTCGGATTAGGTGGCTCCAGAAAAGGCACAAAGAGCCGGCGCCCGCTCGCCCGCTGACCCCCCGCTCCCGAGCCCCGCGCCCCGGCCCCGCGCGGCGGCCCCGGGGGCTTTGTGCCCGGGGTCCCCCGCCGCCCGCGCCCCAGCGGACCGACACCCGAGCCACAAAGCCCGGCAGGGCTCTAGGGGGCCAGCCCGGGGTCCGCGTGCGCCCCGCCCAGGCCCGGCCGACACTCGCGCCCCTCCCACGCGCGCAGCCCCCCACGTCGGCCGCGCGCGCGCCCGCCCACGCCCCTGTGTCCCCGGGGCGCGCCCCGCCCTGGCCCCCCGCCCCGCCCCGCCCGCGCCCCCGGCCGCCCGGGACCGACCGTCCCTCACCTTCTGTGCGTCGGCGGCGGCGTCCCGCCCGCCAGCCGGCCGGCCCTGCTTGCGGCTCTTTTCCGTCCTCGGCGCCCGGCCCGCGCCACCCTGTCCTCCCGCCGCCGCCGCCGCCGGCCCGGCTCCCCGCCCAGCGCGCCCGGAGCGCCGCTCACAGCCGCCCGCCCGGCGCCATCTTGGAAGCTAGTGACGTAGGTACCGCCTGCTCACCCCTGACCCACAACTGAATGGGCGAGCGGCGGGCGGGGCGTGGGCGGGAAGGGGGCGGGGTCTGGTTTGGGGGCGTGGTTTGTGCTGGGGGCGGGTCATTTGTGGGCGGGGCCGGCGGGCGAGCGTGCGGTCTGAGTGCTGGGCGGGGTGGGCGGCCGCCGCACAGCGCCATGGGGGAGGGGCGCCCGGGAGGAGCCCGGGACCCCAACCTCGGGCGCCCCGCCTGACCCCGACTCCAGGTGCGGAGGCTGGGCGGCTATCTCGCCTCCGAAACACCCGGACCGCACCCCGGAGAAGGGGACGCTGAGCCCCCCCCCCAGGCCCAGCTCCCGCTCCCACATTCAGAGGTGACCCCCCCTTTGAGCCTGAGCCTGACTCCTCGGAGCCCCCCCATCAAGGGACCCCTAACGTTCTGCGCCCCACTGGCCAGGATATCTCACCCCCCGCTGCATGTCTCCCGCAGAGATCCCCCACCTTCAAAGCGCAGGGCCCCCCCCCCCCCCCCCCCGGTCTGCAGGCTGCGTGGTCTGGGCTCCAGGGGAGACCCGGGCTGTTTGGATCCCGAAAGAGTGTAGCTCCCTAAGCTGAACCTGGCGTTTGCTCGGACCTGTGCCCGCAGCAGCCCCGCCGCAGGTTAGCCCTACCTGCTCCGAGTTCGCGAGCATGCGGTGCTCAGCCAGCCCCTTCCGGTGACCGCAGCCCCTCGAAGGCCCCTGGGGTCAGGCGCTGCGCCTAAGGTGGCCCGCCCGGACCCAGGCTCGTGGCGGTCTATCCAGATGGCCGCCTGGGAAGGGGCCGGAGCTGGCCTTGAGCCGCAGCCACTTCTCTGTCGGATCTCTTTCTACTTCCAACACCAAACAAAGGAACACACTGCTGTCAACGTCTGAGAGGAACCCAGATTTGCCATGTAGAGAAATTATACCCTAGCACTAGTCAAGATTGCAAACCAATTCAGGGACCCCTCAGGAAGGCTGATTGTGTGACTGTTCTTTCCAAATTAATGTGTAAGTTTAATGTAATCCGAACAGTAGGATCTTTCTTAGACCTAACAAAATTCTAAGTTCCCCTGGAAGAATAAATAGCCAGAAACAGCTATGGTTTTTCCCTTTTGGGGGGGGGAAAAAAAGCAATGAGGGTGGACTTGCCAAAACAGATATTAAAACAAATTGTGGCTTTGGCCAGTTTTGTTCAGTGGTTAGAGAGAGTGTTGGCCAGTGGATGGAAAGGTTGTGGGTTGGCTTACCAGTCAGGGAAGATTCTGGGTTGCAGGTTTCATCCCCCACCCGGTAGGGGTGCAGTAGGGATGTTAGGGATGTGTGCATGGCAGACACAGTCAATATGTCTCTCACACCAATGTTTCTCTCTCTCTCTTCCTCTCCCTCTCTCTCACTCTCTCTAAAAATCAATGTAGAAGATATCCTTGGATGAGGATTAACAACAAATTATAAAGCAACTGCAGTTATGCAGACCAAGAAACAAAATGGAAAGCCTAGGAATAGGTCCTAGAAATAATAAATGAAAAAGGAAATATCCAACATCCCTGAAGAAAGAGATATCAAATATATTGAAGAAATAAAACGAATAGTCCATGAATAGAGCTTGGTAGAGGACTCACTATTGGAAGAAACTACTGAAAGAAAAATGTCAAGGCTCTACTAACAAAAGGCATGCAGATTAAAACCACAAGATGCCAGGTTTGTTTTTTATTTGTACCAAATTAGAAATTAGTTTCCAAGCCCTTAAACATAGGTAAGGGTCTGGTGGGAAATCACTCTCACCTATGGTTGGAAGCATGTAAATTGCATCAAAATTCCTGAACATGAATTTAGCAGTATGAGTCAAAACCAAAATCTTTTTTAAATGCTCATGCTCCCTTTGACCACTAGTAACTCATCTTTCAGGGTTCTGTTCCGAAGAAATTAACCACATTTGCAGATCATGTGCTTGCTTGATTATCTGTCTCTCTAAGACCAAAACCTTGTAACTCCAGTGCCAAGAGCAAACCTGAGACTTCAGAGGCATTCAGTGGTCATTTGTTTTCCTTTACGTTTGAAAATTAGTGTATAATCGTTTTTCCCAAGTATCGTTTATAATAGTGAAAAAGTCATACACAAAGTGAAAGTCTGATAATAAGAGATTGGTTAAATAGTCCACATGATGGACTGTTTAGCAGCCAGAACAAATGGTGTTTATAAAGATGTTTTATGGTGTGGAAATGTGAAAACGATTTTAAGAAAAATAAAGCAAACTATTAAACTGTAGGTAACAGCCCTGGCCATTGTGCTTCAGTGGGTTGAATGATGTCCCATGTACTAAGGTCCATTCAATTCCTGGTCAGGGCACATACACCAATCAACCAACGGCTGTATAAATCAGTGGAACAACAAATGGATGTATCTCTCTCTAAAAAACATCAATTAAAATTTTAACATTGTATGTAACAAATGCATGCAAAATATCGATCTATAGGAAAACAAATGAAAATACATACATCAAAATATCTACAGAAGTTCTCTCTAGGGATTGGGATTTTTTTACACACACATATTTCAGTGTGTTTTACTACAATTGTAACATTTCTTTTTTAAGTTAAATTTATTGGGGTGGCATTGGAAATAATATTATATAATTTCAGGTGTACCTTATAATTTCACATCTGTGTACACTAGTGCATACTCACCACCTGAAGTGTCGTTTCTTTTCATTACCATATGTTTGACCCCCTTTTCCCACTTTGCATCCCCCTCAAAAAGTATCATTTCTAATTAGAACAATTCTGCTAATATGAAATACATTTTCTATAAGTTATCGATTCTCCTCCCTCCCAAACTCCCATCTGTCCTCTGAACAGTTTGACCTGTATCTCTTTTTTTTTTTTAACAGGTTTTATTGGTTTTTATCTTTTTAACAAAATTTTTATTTATTGATTTTAGAGAGAGAGGAGGGGGAGAGAGAGAAAAAAACACATCTATTTGTTGTTCCATTTATATATGCATTCATTGGTTGATTCTTATATGTGCCTTGACCAGGGACCAAACCTGCAACATAGGATATCAAGATGATGCACAAACCAAATGAGCTGCCCGGCCAGGGCCTGATCTGTATCTTCACTTTCTTCTCTGGCATCAACATGTGTTTGTTCACATATTACAAAAATGTGAACAAAAAACTTACTGTTTTGAAACTATAAAATATGATACTATATAAACTGTAAGTCATTATACAATTTACACTAGATTTGCTCTTTTTCACCTAAGAACCTATCACAGACAACTTTCTAGTTTGAGTCACATCCATAATTCATTGTGGGGTTTTTTTTAATATGTTTTATTGGTAGGGGTTTCTTTTTTACAGAGAGGAAGGGAGAGGGATAGAGAGCCAGAAATATTGATGGAAGAGAAATATCCATCAGCTGCCTCCTGCACACCCCCCACTGGGGATGTGCCTGCAACCAAGGTACATGCTCTTGACCGGAATCGAACCTGGGACCTTTCAGTCCACAGGCCAACACTCTACCACTGAGCCAAACCGGCTTCGGCTTAAAATTATTTTTAAGCCCCTGGATATATATCTTGATATACTCCTGCCTTTATGTTCGCAGAATAGTTTACTCGAAGTAAAATCTGTGGGTTGGATGATATGTGGGCATTTTCCATTTTAATAGGTCATGCCAAGTATAGTTCCCCAAGAATATGTGTAGCATTCATATGCATCGAGTAAGTTTGTATTTTTTTTTAATATATTCTTTTTGATTTCAGAGAGGAAGAGAGAGAAACTTCAATGATGAGAGAGAACCATCGAACGGCTGCCTCCCCTACTGGGGATCGAGCCTGCAACCCGGACATGTACCCTGACAGGGAATCAAACCATGACCTCCTGGTTCATATATCAACCATGCTGGCCAGGCAGTGGGTTTGTATTTTTTCTGCCCCTATAACTTTCCCAGACTTTCCAAGTTTTACATACTTAGTACATATTCCTGTTAAATTCAGAGGGAAAGTTCAAGAGGGAAAAGATTTCTTAATCTCAGTGAGCTAGACTCACATCTTTTCTGGTTCCTGAGCAGCCTTACACTATCTCCCCACCTCCAGTGCCCATCCAGGCCCATTTCTTGAGAAGCATTTGATAATATCCAAGCCAGTTTACTCCCCTCTTCTAGTGCAATTTTATTTTATTTATTTATTTATTTATTTTTAATAAATTTTATTTATTTATTTATTTTTTATATTTCATTGATTTTTTTACAGAGAGGAAGAGTGAGGGACAGATAGTTAGAAACATCGATGAGAGAGAATCATCGATCAGCTGCCTCTTGCACACCCCCTACTGGAGATGTGCCTGCAACCAATGTACATGCCCTTGACCGGAATCGAACCCGGGACCTTTCAGTCCCCAAGCCGACGCTCTATCCACTGAGCCAAACCGGTTTCGGCAATTTTATTTTATTTTTTTATTTATTTTTATTTATTTTTTTAATATATATTTTATTTCTTTTTCATAGACGTTCTGCTAAATGGAAGAAGCAAGATGCAGAATATTATGTACAATGTAATTCATTTATGGTGTTTAGAAATTATATATCTGTTTCCATTCCTATATCTGCTTATATTTATATATATAAAAGCCTAATATGAAAATTGTCCTCACAAGAGTTCAACCAGGAGACCTATCTCTTGCTGTGATGTGCGCTGACACTGAGGAGGGGTGTGAAATGAAGGAAGGCCCCGGCCAGCAGTCTGAAGGCCCCGATTGGCCCTGGTCGCTGGCCAGGCCTAGGGACCCTACCTGTGCATGAATTTCGTGCACCGGGCCTCTAGTATCCCTTTAAAAAGCTGGGACAGAGCCGTAGCACTGTGGCTTTCTTGGTTGGAGCGTCATCCCATCTACTGAGGAATATCAGGTTCAATTCCCAGTTGGGGCACATGCCTGAGTTGCTGGTTTGGTCCCTGGTTGGGTGCCTGTGAAAGGAAACTGATT